CGCCTCCTCCTCCTCCTCCTCTCACAGCGCCTCACGTCGGTATTAGCAGCGGAAAGAAGTACTACAGTACTTGGAAAAAGGCACGCAATACAAAACCTAACTTACAGCATCTCTGTCCGAGAACATTTTTCGACATACCTGTACCCGTAAAAATGTTCGTATGTACCGTTGTTCGTAACACGAATGTTCGTAAGTCGGGGATATGTGTGTGTGTGTGTGTGTGTGTGTGTATATATATATATCTATATATTTCTTTTTTTTAACTTACTGACAGCCATCAACATTTACAGTCCACAATAAATTACAAATAATGAAATTATCATTGTACTGCAACTGTGCTGTAATAATTGTATGCTAAACAATTTTATGCTACAACAGAGGTGTTGGTGGTGTTTGCGTTCATGTGTGTACTCCATCAATGTGTGTGTTGTTCATTACCAATTTGTCCATGCATGACCTTTGTGAGGAGAGATGTGTTGTGTGGCTTGTTGTTAACCACTCGCACCTCACATGACGATAGTTGTGTATGCGCTGATGCATTAAATGGCGATAAAATGTGTCTACTTCCAGCGATATGAACTATGCCAGCCTGGATCACATTTTGAGGCTCCCTATACAATATCTTGCATTGAAGCCACAAAAAGATGCAACGAAGACGCGCATTGATACAGAAATAAGACGTCTGTGATAACCATGAGGAAAGTTTGCATGTATTGAACGTCGATGCTCACTCTTATTCAGTTGAATGGAGCGACGAGGCGCGGGATGCCCCTACATTTTTACAAGCGTAAAAATTTTATGCACTGGTTATTGTAAAACTATAACAATGTTCACATAATACAATGCTGGAAAAAGTGCAGTGTGTGTCAGAGACTTTGGGAAAGAATGTTCTCAAACACATTTTATGTGTACCTTTTATACTTCGCAGCAGGGATGGCTCCAGAATTTTTTTTTCTCTCCAGGGGCTAAAAAAGTGAGGCTTGACCCAATACATAGTGAGAAAATAATTTATCAATATATTTAAAAATAGCAAATCAAATCCTGGAGGGGCTTATCTGGGGCTACGCAGATTTCTGACAGGGCTAAGGCCTCCCATAGCTAAAGCCTCCTAGTGGAGCGCCATCCCTGCTTCACAGCACATGGCTCTCAAGTGGTACGATTTGCAATTCAGTATGTAAATGGGGGGGGGGGGGGGTTCCCCAATAAAAAAAACGACATCCTCAGATCGGAATCAGGCCTATTCTAAATGTACCTGAAACAAGTGCAGCATAAACACACAATTTGCATATAACGTTCAAGATTCATGCAAGCTTGTCATTAAAATGCACCAATTGGTGACATGGAATACCCCCCGCAACCCCTGTCTGCCAAATAACACTGAAGAAGGGTCAAAATATGCTGCATCAGAGGTGTGTCCATCATCAGATAAGCAAAATAATTGCCAATGGCAGCCGGTGAAGTAATATCAAGTAGTATTCTGATTTCAATTAAATGGAGAGTAGCTCACGTGAGATGTCCTTGTCCATGTTAGCAACCAGAAAACCTTCGCTGTGACTATACGTACATTGTGTCCATCTTGGAGAAAGTCTGTCTGTTGTGGTCTTCCACATGGGTTTAAAATGCTACAATTGGGAAACTCTGAACTATTGTCTGATCTCGTCAGAAAAAGATTATTAAAGCAGAATTGATATCTTTCATGCAAAACGATGCTGTTAAAAACCTGACCATCATGTTTTTATGTTTCACAGTGCTGATATCACAAAAAAAACGTTCATTTTTGATTTGTCATTTTTATAAGGCACACATGCATAAGTCATCGGTAAGAAATGAACAAGGCTGTTTAGTTGCCTTATGACCAATGTCTGCGTTGGGTTCACGTTGCCTGCTGTAAATAGGATTAGTTTTTGGTGAGGGTTGGATGCTGCCAATCTGCCTTGTCATTCTGTTAGTAACCTTTATGGATAGAATTTCTGAGCAGAGCATAGGCATTGTGGGGCCTCTTTGGCTGTCTATCTTGGTTGACAGTTCGCTGACAGGTCGTCGTCAGCAGTAGACCATTCAATACACTCAACGCTAACTTGCTCACTCGCCATTCTCCACGACTGCTTTTTGGCTCAGTCCCGGGCCAACATTGGAAGCTGGCTTATATGTCCTGTGTTGTTTTTCTTTTTTACCAAGCTGTGTGTGTCTGTTTGTGCTTGAGCAGCTGCCGCATGTGATGTAGTAATAAGGTATTGATAGCTGGCCGCAATGATAATTTTTTTCCCCCCTCCATTATTCTCAAAACTTGACTCAGAAACCACCCGTACAGGATGCTGTGTGTAACATATTAACTTTGTATATTCTCTCAGCGGACTTGAGATAAAAGTTAAATTGTTTCCAATTTGACCCAATATGGGCGAGTGTGAAGTATTTTTTCGTGTGCGGCCCCACTTCCCATCCCTCCAAATGCGTCATCCGCACTACCCCCGCACGCATGTGCGGCCAACCTCGTGAACTGCATTGACAATATAGAATTGCACCCCCAGAAATGCTCACCTCGGTCTGAACGGTTTGGTCTGAGCGTAGCATTCGAGATGCGGTAGTGGGTTCAGAGGAGAATAGTGCACCGAGAGGAGCCAGATGAGGTGGCTCGGGCATCTGGTTTGGACGCTTCTCTTGTGAGGAATTCTGGGCACGTTACACCCGGAGGAGGCCCGGGAAAGACCTGGGACATTCTGGGTTCACTACGTCTCTCTCGGCTGGTCAGGGAATAACATGGATGGAGAATGTAACCAAAAGCATCACATATTCATGTCTCGACATTCCCTGCCAGTGTGCCATGGAACATTAGTGTGCCATAAGAGATCATCATGCGTGCTGTAGAAAATGATCCAATTTCACTCCATACGTCACAAAAAGGGCGACCCGGTGGTCCAGTGGTTAGCGCGTCAACCTCACAGTGCTGGGTTCAATTCCAGCTTCGGCCTCCCTGTGTGGAGTTTGCATGTTCTCCCCGGGTCTGCGTGGGTTTTCTCCTGTTACTCCGGTTTCCTCCCACATTCCAAAAACATGCATGGCAGGCTGATTGAACACTCCGAATTGTACCTAGGTGTGAGTGTGAGCGCGGATGCTTGTTCGTCTCTGTGTGCGATTGGCTGGCAACCGGTTCAGGGTGTCCCCCGCCTACTGCCCGAAGACAGCTGGGATAGGCTCCAGCACCCCCCGCGACCCTTGTGAGGATAAAGCGGATCGGAAAATGAATGAATGAATGAATACATCCCAAAAAATGTGTTTAGCCAATTACAAATACATTTCAATCACCTTTCTATGCCTGCGACATATAGTGAACAGCAGAACAATCAGATGATCTTACATTACGGGTAGATGGCAGAAGGTACAATAAATCCGTGTATCCAATATTCAGACACAGAATATGTCATGGCTTTGCACGAGTATTACAACGATGGGTTCAGTTAAGCAGGCCCAGATCTTATACTTAGAAATGCCAACTTTTAACACAATGTTTAAAAAAAATGCTTGTTTTACTCTTGTACTAATTCACCATTTACCTAAAACTCAGGCGTGTGCGTGTGTGTATCACAGATGTTCCAGCATGGCTCAAGAGTCTTCGTCTCCATAAGTATGCAGCGCTGTTTTCTACCATGGCCTATGATGAAATGATGTCACTTACTGAAGAACAACTGGAGGCACAGGTACACGCTGACCAGATTCTAAAATTATAAAATGGTATTGGCAGTATCAATACTTTGGGGCCTTGAGTCAAACTCTACTTTGAAATAACGCACTTAAATGTGCTTGAGTCCTTATCAAAAGGTGCATATGTTTTGATGCTTTGTTGTTGTTTCAACAGAAAGTCACCAAAGGAGCAAGACACAAGATTGTTATTAGCATTCAAAAGCTAAAAGAGAGACAAAACCTGCTGCGCAGTCTCGAAAAGGTCAGTCACCCAATTTTTTGTGTGTGTGTGTGTGTGTGTGTGTGTGTGTGTGTGTGTGTGTGCGTGTGTGTGTGTGTGCGCGCGTGCGTGCGTGCGTGCGTGCGTGCGTGCGTGCGTGCGTGCGTGCGTGCGTGCGTGCGTGTGTGTGCATCTATTACGTGCGTGCGTGCGTGCGTGTGTGTGCATCTATTATCCTGACTTTAAAACTCGAAGCGATGATGCTCTTGACACTTCTTTGTTTGCCCCTGAAAAAAAGTTTTTGGATTACTAAGAAGTCAGCAGCACTGCTACATCACAGTAAGACGTTTGCTTCAGTGTGGAATCTGCATTCAGATCTCAAAGTTTACATGTTCTCCTGGGAGGACTTCCTTTGAAAAGAGTTCCCTTTTGCCATTGTTGTATGGCAAACACACTGCAGCCGAGGTCCCGAACATTTATGTAATAATTTGGTTCATGACACGGAAGAAGTGACTGCACAACTCTACAATGTCGATACCATCAGTTCTTGAGTATAAGACACATTTTGTTTTGTTTTTGTTTGAAATAAAATTAAAAGAAATCATTCCAGTATCAAGTCAAGTATCAAGTACAACTTTATTGTCAAATGTGCTGTATGTGTAACATACAGCAGAGATGAAATTTCCTCCCTCTTAAACAGACAACAGACAACAAGAGGAGCCGCTGCGGGTGCCCGCGCCGCCATCAAAAGAACACTTCACATAAAATGACAAAATAATAAACATTTAATGTCCAATATTACAAATTTTATAATGATGTGGTGGTTTTGACATATATGTTCTCCACACGCACACACAAACACGCGCGCGCGCGTGCGCGCACACACACACACACACACACACACACAGTAGATATACAGTAGATTGCATGTGCTGCAAATGCGTGTGACGTAGTAATAGAGTCAGTCCTAAAATAATAGTGGTGACAAACTCGAACTAAGCAGTGATGATGACGGACTGATGAACTGGCTGAGGATTCTAAAATGGCAGTGAAGAACTGTAGTTTAGCAATGACAGAAGTGTGGTTAAAATAACGATGACGGAGTGACGACTGATGATTACAGTTTTGGCTCGGCTTGAAATATTGACGGACTGACAATGGTGGATGTGGGGCCTGCCCACTGGCGAATGACAAATGATGGCCCGGCAAGATTTACTCACTCACCCACGTCTGCTAATAAGGCACCTTTTGTTCTCTCTAAGTGTATAAGATCCAAATGTAGCCACAAAGAAAACTTTGTATGCCAATGAATTCACCAATGACAGTGAAATAACTAACGGATCTATTTCCCTGCATCTTTTCCTTTCATGTCCCTTCCCACCACAAGGATGTGTTAGAGGGCAGTAATCTTCGTGTACCACTGCAAGAACTTCATCAGATGATCATGACGCCGATCAAGGCTTTTACTGGTGGCGAGGACACTTCCTTGCAGCGCCCGACCATGAACACAGATTCTAAAAGCTCTGCACCCGGGTCCCACCTTGCTGGAGGAGGTGGAGAGGCCGAGGCAAGCTCAAGTGTCATTGCAGAGGGGGATCTACCAAGCCAGTTCACTCGCGTTATGGGCAAAGGTGAGTTGCTGATGAGGCTCTTCATTGAAATGATCTTCAACAACAACAAAAAAAATAGTTGCTGATTTCCAATCTTGATCTCAGTTTGCACTCAGCTCCTGGTTTCAAGGTCAGATGAGGACAGCATCAGCTCCTACCTACAACTCATTGACAAGTGTCTTATACATGAGGTACAATACACATTGCCATGACAAAAAAGGTTTTGACAACCAGACACAAATATCCAACACGGTTTGATTTCTCCAGTGTTGGTTTTGTTCTTACATCGTTTTCGTGAATTACCGTATTGGCCCGAATATATAACGGCCCTGATTATAAGACGACCCCCTCTTTTTCAAGACTCAAGTTTGAAAATAGACTTTTTGAACACCAAATTAATTTTATACAGAAAATAATTACAGTACATCTGAAACAAAAGATTATAACAATATATTTGAGAGAAAAAGCATGTTATTTTGCCTCATTCAAATCTTAATATCTGAACATTTAAATATGTAAACTAAAGTGCAATCACATTCGTAAATGAATGGCTTCTGGTTTTTTAAATGTAAATTACATCATAACTTCTCCTCAACTGCCGGTTAACCTGGACGATCTTCGAACCCACTTTTTTCCAGATTGTCGCTACGCTTCTCCATTTTCTGTTGTCTCCTATTATTTTCTTCTCTTTTCTTTCGTACCACTATTTTTTATTTTTATTTTTCGTGCTACCGCTATTTTTATTTTTATTCTTCGTGACAGGGGTTCACTTTGGCCTGGGGAGTCAAGTTCAGCATTCGCTTCAATGATATCTGGCGCCATCTAGCGTCGTGAATGGGTATAACGTCTAGACCCCGAATATAAGACGACCCCCACTTTTTCAGTCTTATTTCAATACAAAAAACACAGTCTTATATTCGGGCCAATACGGTACATCTAGCGTAAATGATGGAGGTGTTCACTTAATGTCACGAAGTCAGCATTCTTGAAGGACTAATAATTCTCTCGGTAACTATGATAGCTTAATACACTTCCAGGGGAAACACACATCATGGACCTGTATACAGTGATACCTCAGCTCACGAACATAATTGGTTCCCAGAAAGTGTGTGTGAGGCGAAAAGTTCGTCTTCTGAACATTTATTTCCCATAAGAAACCATTAAAATGAGAATAATCCGTTCCCGTTCCCCATAAAGCATAATTTTCTACTAAATAAGCCTTAAAACTACACAAAAATATACCTTATTTTATGTATCATAAATGTGCTTGTGGTATTGTAATTAAAGAAATAAACTGTACTGTATAATAAAGTCGTTTTATTTATCTTTGTGATGGTAGTTGATGGCTTGATGGAATGGAGTGGGAGGAGGAGGGAGGGAGGGAGTTACTGTTTGGAAGGAGCGTCACCTTCCATAAGGACTGTAGGTAACTCAACCTCCGGTGTGGCTTCTCTTCTTTCCTTCTCAGAAGGAGACTCTTTATCCTTTCCATCTTAAGGATGGTAGCAATGGTAGACTTAGCGTACTGGTACTGGGACGCTAAGTCACACAAACGCACACCTCGTCCGTGTTTTTCAATGATCTCCTTCTTCTGCTCGATCGTAATTTTCTTTAATGTCTTCTTAGGCTTAACACTAGCCTGTGGTGGGGTCTTTTTCGGTCCCATAATAGCAAAAGTACACTCAATATGGTCCAAAATGTTGATCAAACACAAACCACGTCCGCACTCAAAGAAAGGGGGTGACGAACCGGGACGCCGTGAGCGTGTGTCAGCTTCTCGTGGCCACCACCGTGGCGCTGTTCGACTGCGTGGTTTGGTTCGTCCGCCGAAAACTAGTTCGTCAGCAGAGACAATATGCTCGCAAATTTAATGTTCTTGAGGCGAAAAGTTTGTGATCTGAAGCGTTCGTCAGCGGAGGTATCACTATAGTTTAACAGTAGAACTGTTGGTCAGTGACAACATTCAAGCGGTCTGTCAGTTGTTTTGAATGATGCACAGCTCATTAGAGCTCAGTTTCAACACCACAGTCATGCACCCGATTGAACTCTGTTGTCTTCCCTTGACCATCAGTCCTTTAGTGAAACACAGAAGAAGAGGCTGTTGTCATGGAAACAGCAGGTCCAGAGGCTGTTTAGATCCATTCCGAGAAAAACGCTCCTTGACGTTGCAGGTTACAGAACACAGAGGAGGTATATATTGCGTTACTGTATACATTATGATTATGCGGTTGCGTTTTGCAGTGAACCCGATCCATCAGTCATGACATGTTTTGTCCCGTAGCAGTCGCGGGTTTGGTCAGTCCAACTCCCTCCCGACCACAAGCTGTGTTGGAAGCAGTGTTATGGCACGAAGAAGTCTTCGGCAGTTCCAGATGCCCTCTCGGAGTTTACCGGGTGCAAGGCTCGGCCTGCTAAGCAGCAGTGGCCTGCTGGGACCCACACCTCGCAGTAGCAGCAGCACACCCACAGGCCCCAAGCAGGGGAGACAGGTGAGTCGGAATAACTGGAAGGTCTGTTCCAGCAACAAACAAATATATTTTTTAAAACTCAAAACATTTTAATCATATACACATATTTGATATTTGGCGACGGCATGTTCTTCATTCTTCTGTTATTTGTGATCATTCACGACATTAAATGAAAGATGAAGGTACATAACAAACTGATACAAAAATAGAATTGTGAATATGGTGAATGAAATCATTGAGAGCAGATTGACTTCCTTCATGACTTATCCTTATAAAATGTGTTTGGTGTTTTTTTTCCCCCCCTATTGCAAGAATACAGACAAAGGATAAGGGAGTAGCGTTGGCGTCTGACGAATGAAATGAGGTGGATGGAACTTTAGGGAAGTCACTCCACATACCACAAACCTTGCGTCAGTGCTGAGCGTTGAAACAGGAGGAGGTGTTTCAGGCTCATCCTGGCACACTTTGGTTTGGGCTGACCCATTTCGTTGGAAACCGAGGTCTCCTTCGCTCTCTCACGCATACTCATCCCATACAATGGGAGGAAATACCTCAGTTCCTTTTCCCCATACATCCTTGTGTGTCTGAATTGTGGATGTGTACAGAGGAAACTAGGGAGAGAGCGATGTGAGTCATAGTTTGGCCGAGTTGTTGGTGAGGGAGGGGCAAAGACCGTCACAGAGCGAGAGAGAGAGAGAGAGAGAGAGAGAGAGAGAGAGAGAGAGAGAGATAGTATTTACGTTTGTATATGAGAGAAAGAGCGAGAGAAGCAGTGAGAACAGTGCATAGGCATTTCCTGTTTTTCCTTGGCCTGCAGCACTGGAGGGCCATGAGGCGGGGTTGGAGAGGGAGTAAGGGGGAGGAGGAAGTTGTAGTGCCGGAGGTATGCTAGGCAGGTTACTGTGAGGAATTTGTGTGGCTAGCATCGGAGACTGACAATTTTGTGTCAGCTGGATGTCCATAAAGTAGTGTTAAAGGGGTTTTCATGTCCCATTTATTTCCATGGATGCCTACCAGCTGTCTCTGTTCAACTGATAGCGTGAAAATCTGTTTTTGCTTTTTTTTTTTTCCTGTTTACATATATTTCCGATTCGACACAAAGCAGTACTGTGTATCTCTTTTTTGGAGCGATACAATTCGATACAGTAAAGGCGATTTTGGTACAGTACTGTGGTACAGTAACGATGACTTTTCTGTAAATAAACCTCTACTAATTAAAGACCACTCCAAATCAACACAATAGAATGTTGTTTCATTGGATTTTATTTTAAAACCAACTCAGCTTTACAGATTCCAAAATGTGAAAAAAAAAACATTGATATCAGAACAAGTTAGTTCTGTTTTTATACACTAGCTTACCTCATTATCAGAATAAGCGAGCTCTTTGTTTGCATTAAAACATCAATGTTAGCAAAACCTTTTGATAAAAGGTTTAGTATGTCTGAACGATACTCTATTCAACCTTTCTCTTTTCGTGGCACAAAAAAGTATTAAAGTTGTATATTTTCACATTAAATTAACATGTGACCGTTTTTTTTTTTGAAGAACAACTGTGTGTAACAATTTTGCCAAAGGCTTGCATATTGTTTTTCAAAACATCAGCTGGTCTAATGATCGAGCAGCAAGGTACTTCTCCGCATGCTCCGCAATAGTAAGTAATTCTTTGAGCAGGAGGAAATTTATGATCCAGTTTTTGAATAAATAAGACGACAGCACTTTTTTGGTGGCACGGTTGCTGCCGCTGTTGATTCACGACAGGTTTGTTGCCGTTTTTGATGCCATGGCGACAGCTGAGACGCTTTGACAAAAAACAGTTCCCGTTGTATTTAATTCTGTATTTGCATACACGGCAACCGTCTTGTCAAGATAATCTCCTTTTTTGCGAATTCCAAAAGGTTTCCACAAAAATTAACATATAGCTTCGTCTTAAAAATCTCTTTCCTCGCTGCAATCATTTATGCTGATCTATTGTTGTCTGTGTTGCCTGCATGACATAAATCTCCGGTGCCACCCAGAGTTTATGTCTAAGGCGAAAAAAATATGTCAATTAAAAATAAAATACAAACCGGAATGGAAAATAAATAATAAAATCGTTTTATTTATTATATTGATTCCATCTATCTGGAACTTAATGTTGTGTCGATGTGTGGCCAGCTTTGATGTGCAAGAGTCCAGTGCCTATCGATGTAACTTGATTCACGCGGCAAACACACCCATATCTGTATCGTTACACCCCGAATCAACAAGGAATATCAAGCAAAAAAAATGTTTTGTCATTTAAAAATGGAAGAATGTATTTCATAGTTTGATCTTGTATTAGTTTGGAAATGTGTGTATTTTCGACAGAAAAGGAAGTGCCATTTATGGTTATTGTTCTTATCACACACAATTCCACAGTTCCTTTATTTTAGTCATCTATGTAGTTATTTGATGCAGAGGCTAGTGGGACCTCCCATATCAAACAAAATGCTGTTGGACTTCCAAATCACCTCACTCAATTTTCTCATGGGGAAATGTGGGAACAATACTTCAAAAAACACTTTTGCAGTGCCTTCATCCATCCAATTACTTTGCCGTCTATCCTCTGAAAGGTTGCAAGTCCCCTATTGCAGCTGACTTTGGGCCACCGGCAAGGGACACCCTTGACCGGTCACTACCTAATCGCAGAGCGTAGACTCTACACAAAATTTACTATTTAGAGACTTCACTTCACCTAAGAAGCTTGATTTCTGGTATATTGGAGGAAGTACCTGGAGAATTTATCAATATTTACGGCATGTGAAAAAACACACAAAAAAAAAAGATACCTTAATGGAGACAATACATTTTAAAATTTAGATTCCCAGATGTCTTAATAAGTGGTCTGTGACATTCTTCCATTTGCGCCGCTTGTCACTATAGTCAGCAACTTTTTCAAATCTTCTATTGAATATTTTTGCAAGAGAATCACTAGCAACCCATCCAGTGGAGCTTTGTGATACGATGGAGACTTCTGGAAACTCAGAGACTCCCTCCGCTGGAGGCAGGAGCTGTTCGTGTCCATGTGCAAATTTCAAATGAACCTTGCTTGGGTGAAGTCTCCACAGACCCCAAGTACCCAACTCTTTGTATTTGTAAGAAGTTAACTACGATAGAATTATCTTTGATATCAAGTGATGATGTGTTTAGTGGCTCAATATCTACGAAGTGGTTCATCTAAAAACTCTGACAAATCGATTAAATGGCCTTCTTTTTATGTTTGTTTTTTTTTCTTCAGGGTCTATGGTTCGCCAATCCTGGGGGCAGCAACAGCATGCCTAGTCGAACCCACAGCTCTGTGCAACGGACCCGCTCCCTGCCGGTTCATACAACACCGCAAACTATGGTCATGTTCCAACAAGCTGGTAGGAACCTTTTGAATTAAAAATGAATAAATAAACACACACACATACACACTTGCATTATCTTTTACTTTGTGCCCCCTTAGAGGATAGGACACACAAAATTTGCCTTTTCAATTTGATCACAATCAAGTTTGCATTCAAGGCGGCTTGCAGCTTGTCGCGAGAAACTTTTTTAAAATTCTCTTTATTTATTGCACTGTATCACAGCTCTGTAACCTGCGTGCACATTCACTGCAGGTTCAGACTTCGATCCATCTATCTATTTTCCGATCCGCTTTATCCTCACGAGGGTCGCGGGGGATGCTGGAGCCGATCCCAGCCGTCTTTGTGTGTGTTCACTTTTTTGACAGTATTGGTCATATTTTTTTATTCATAACTGGATATTAACAGGGATTAATTTTCTAAAGTTCAAAGTTTCAAGTCAAGTCAGAAATAGAGGAACTTTCCTAAAGGTAACACAGATAAAGTGACAACCAAGTAACAATAAATAAAATACTTTGAGATGTTCATCATCATGTCCTGCACTGATACTTCATTTATTTTATTGTTCTCTCTATTTGTTTTTTATCACGTGATTAATACATATGCCGCTCAAATAACCCGTCGCTATCCACGATATATCCTTCCCCATTATTTTCACCTTCAACCAACTCACGCGGTCACATGAGTTATGGCCCATGTAACCCACAACAAAGTGTAGCAGCTCCGCAAAGTGAAATGCTGAAAAAAAAGTAATTATTCACACACATTAATTATTAGCAGAAATATGTTTGTGATTTTCACATGTTTGAGAGATCCCAAAATATACGTGTTTTTCACTTTATTTATTTATTTATTTTAATCCACTAACACTTTATATGCACGATTTACACGTGCTTAGCCACCCATGCTATTGGGGGGGGGGGGAACACCATAGACCAACATAGTTTTATTGTTTTCATGCTGGTCTTGCAGGTGTCACTAGCTACACGCAGGGCAACAGCAGGGTGCTGGTCTTGGTGATGTCACTAGCAAGATAAGCAACCAAAGCAGTTAAGATTCCATCACCCAAACCTTCGCTCACTTGTAAACCGGCTCTACTAACTGAGCCACAGCAACCTAGCAAGACCAACATGCTGTTGTTGCCCTGCTGGTAGCTTCTGACACCAACAAGACTCCAGCTGGTCACCAGCTATGACCAGTTCCTTGCTAGGTGCCGGCAAGATGTTTGCCCTGCTAAGTGGCTCTGGCTCAGCGGGTTGTCCAATGGTCTGCTATTTTTCTTTTTTTGTTGGTTTGTTATGTTTTGGGGGGTTTTTGTAAGGATGTCGTGTGTGCATTTATCATGACTTATCATTTTCAATTCTGCTTGTGAATTGTTGAATGTGCGTTTGTGGATCAGGCTGATCCAATCAGCAGGCACTCGCATTCAAACGTCAGGCGGTTTCATAATATTCACACACACACACACACACACACACACACACACACACACACACACACGTGCGTGCGGCAATTGTAAACATTCATGGCGATAAAAGGCCATCCGCTAGGAGGCATTGTTGCTGTTTCCAATGAACGGGAACAAGCCATCTCCCCTTTCTCGTTTAAAAACTGGAAATTGAAAAATGGAATACGAGCCTTTATCTGATGTTCTATTATGTGTTTAATGAACACAAGTCGGGAAAGAAAATTGGACCGTAATTTGTTTCCCTCAAGCTTGCTTTGCTTTGAAGCTAGAAGTCGTTGATATTCTTCAGCTGCTTCTTCTTCGTCTTCTATGCCACTACAGCAGTGGCCAAAGAGGGAGCAGCAGAAGAAGAATGTCTTCCGAGTCAAGCCAAAACAAGCTGAAGGGAAACAAATTATGTTGCTATTTTTCTTCCCGACTTGTAAACAGATGGTAAGTCATGATAAATGCTCACACAACATGAACAAACACGTGTAAATCGTGCGTATATTTGTGGATCTCAAAAATGTGAAAATCACATGATTATCACAAATCTATTTGTGTGAATAATTCGGAGTCGAATCTCATCCGTAATAATAAATCAAGACAAGACCGCAACGTCGTCTGGAGCAGAGGTCCCCAACCTTTTTTGCCCCACGGACTGGTTTCATGTCAGACAATATTTTCAGGGACCGGCCTTTAAGGCCGGATAGATACAACGATATAATATGACATGAAAAGTGTGGTATTTTATAATAATAAACACGAATCATGACAGGAGAAACGTCCTATCTGGCCACAACATTCTCTGGTCGCTAAGGTAACGTTTATACGTGCCTTCAAAATAAAATACGCCGCAAATAAAAAGTGCATGAAAAAATACAACTGACCATCGCCGCTTATTATGCAGAGTGGGGTTGGTGGGTGTGAATCTCGCGTTGGGCCGTATTTGAAATAGGACTCCTGTTACTGTCTATTAAATGGAGCCTTCTTTTTCTTGAAAGTCGTGGCCTCCTCTTCTGTCTCCTGGCAGGGCCTTTTCCCTTCCCCGAAAAAACTTTTCAAAGACGTTTGTTTTTTATGCGGTAATCACGTGACTGAGAAACGGCGCATTCACCTGCGTCAAGAGTGACATACTGTCAACTGATATAACAGAGAATCTGGTAATTTTTTTAACCTTTCAGATTCTGAAATGAATAAAACAGAAGGAATGTAAGTTATTTATTCTTTAGAGTGACATACTGTCGACTGATGAATGTAAGTTATTTATTCTTTTTGTGTGGGCCGGCACCAAATGACCCGCGGACCGGTACCGGTCCACGGCCCAGCGGTTGGGGACCCCTGGTCTGGAGGGTTAGATATAATTAGCGGCAGACCAATTATGGCCCCCAGGCCGCGAGTCGGCAACCTGTGGCTATAGAACAGCCCATAGACCACAGGTGTCAAACTCAAGGCCCGAGGGCCAGATCTGGCCCACCACATCATTTTATGTGGCCCACGAAAGCAAATCAAATGTCAAACACGACCATGATGCTTGCAAAAATCTCTACCAAAATTTAAAATTCTCATATTTAATAAATTAGTGACATATTGTAAGCATTTTTTGTGACCAAACCCCTCATTACAGTAACTTAAACAATAGTTGAATAAACTGTGATTATTGACTTTTTTATATGGTTTCAGTCATAACGACCCTCCAAGGGAAACTGCCACTAAAATGTGGCCCACGACAAAAATGAGTTTGACACCCCTGCTATAGACATCGACAACATATAGGTCTCCCAGTACGCACACTGGAAAAGGGGCTCTAGTTTTGCCCCTTGGGTATATTTTATGATATTTCACTATTATTATTATTATTACTATTCATAAAAAATAATCATTGACTACTGCTGAAACGTAGACTTGACATCTTCCCTGAAAGCCAACAACACTCAAAAACTAGTTGACTAGAGCAAGGCCATGGTGACTGTGACATGAGGTCGCTTCCGCTGTGTCACATGCACCGCAGCATCAATTGACAGAAAAGCAGGAGCTCTGGCAAAGCTCCTCAACTGCCAGGATATCAGAGGGCGTGCGTAGAGAACGAAGAGGAAGAAAACGAGGCGGGGAAGGGAAAGCGTGAGAGTCCCACAATGGGGCTTTGTGCGGTGAGGACAACTCTCTGGCCCAGCTTCCCTGCCTTCTCTCTCTCTCTCCCTGACCCACTCTCTTTCTTGGCTGTCTCGGGTTTTCCTCTCTTCCATCGCTGCAGCGTCATGCACACGTCGCACTCTCAGACGAAGTGATTTCAAAAGTCAGCCCCCGTCTGTCTTGTTTTGCGTGCATATACGTAAGTCCAAGGTGTTTGGAAGGACGCACGTTAATCGAGGTAAACTATTGGAAAGGCATGCAATGCGCGTGTGCCATTTTGTCGGGCCCTGTGTATGTTTGTCTTGGTCTTTGTTCACGGGGTTAGGGGAGTGAGAGAGTATGTGGATGTGTTTTGGAGGGATGGAGGCTGGTCATTGAAGCCTATAAATAGCCTACTGTGGATGACCGCCTAACTCAGCTTTTCTCTCTGACCGCAAGGGATTTTCACTGCCGCGTCTGTATTGAGGACTCAGCTAAAGACTGAATAGCTAGACAGGGTTGCTTGGTTGCGCAGCCCAAATATATGACCAACACGCCCTAAAAACTCTTCAACCTCAACCCAGCCCTCTCCCAAACATTCTCCACCCAGTTCAAGAGCAGAAGCAGTGGCAGTCAACAGAAACTGTTACCTGGGAGACACACACACACACGCACACACACACACACACACACACACACACACACACACACACACACACACACACACACACAACCAAAAATAATGTCATTGTATTCAGTGACTTCCAAGACCATTCTAGAAATAATTGAAAACAATTCAAGAAAAAAAATCGTAATAAAAAAGAATAGCGCCAAAGCAAACTGTGGTAGTCATGTTAGTACTAATCTTATTTCCTGCACAATACCGGGAATTTTCGCTGGTCATGGTTTTGAACAACTTTTTTCATTTTTCAATTTTCAAAATTACTAAATACCAGGGCTGATCAATGGGATCTTATTAAAACGATGCAATTTAGTGTTTGTTTGTTTGTTTGTTTGTTTGTTTGTTTTTTAAACGGCAAAAGAAAAAAATTATTCAACAGAACTGAGTTTGCTTTCTTCTGACTTTTTGGGTGATGTTACTAAGCCTACTGTCCGGTGTCCAACAATTTTTTACACTGGGGCCCACTTTCATGCAAGGACATATTTTTATGCACCGTAGAAGGCGAGGCGCAGCAACACGGAGATGACCGCCTCACCGGAGGCCCTGTTGCACCATGGTTGGCCACTGGCTCACCTTGCGAATGTCGTCGTTTGCGAGCAGCCAGTCAAGCAAGCGGTTGATAATAGGCTACTGTGCAATGCATCGCTAATATGTTGTCAAAAAAGCGAAGTTGAGGCTTGGCAAAGGTCTTTGATAACACATAGTGTAGATAAAGCAGTAGGAAGGGGCATTTCATTTATCTCTCCCAGCTGTCTTTGGGCAGTAGGTGGGGGGACACCCTGAACTGGTTGCCAGCGAATCGCAGGGCACACAGTGTTTTAGTCATGTTTCCTTTTTTAAAATCACAATATATTGTGTAGGTATTGTGATTGGCGGCCAGGTCGTCGAGTGTTTACCACATCGACCTCACAGTGCAGAGGTACCAGGTTCGATTCCATCTCTGGTCTTCCTGTGTGGAGTTTGCATGTTCTCCCCGGACCTGCGTGAGTTTTTTTCCGGGTACTCCGGTTTCCCCCCAAGGTGTGAGTGTGAGCGCAGATGGTTGTTCGTCTCTCTGTGCCCTGCGATTGACTGACAACCGGTTCAGGGTGTACCCCGCCTACTGCCTGAAGATAGCTGGGATAGGCTCCAGCACGCCCCGCGACCCTTGTGAGGATAAAGCGGATCAGAAAATGGATGGATGGATGCTATTGGGATTCTTGGTAGAAGCCCCCTCCTCAATACGCCCATAAATACCAATTATTGTACCACATCATATCAAGGCCAGTTTAGCTTCTGCTCCTACCCTGAATTATCATTAAATTCATCTGAATTTTTATCATTTGACCAAAACATGAATCACACCATTGGTTATATACCAGGCAGCATTCAAATGTGAAAATGGAATTCATAATAAAACACATTGAACAGTGGTCAAATTGATTTGTAGTTTTGGCAAGTCATAAATCCCTGCACGCATATTATGACTTCATACTGGCTGAAGTCATTGTTTCGCCCGTGGCCGCAATTGGACTCTCAACTCTTACCATATACTGCGGTTAATTCTCAGCTGGCTGTTCACTGATTTCATCTTTCATATGTATCAACATGGATCCCTTCTTGTTTTACCTCTAGTTCTAAACTATTCATCATGCCCGTTATATAATCTGCGTGTGTTTCTTTTTCCCCGTGTGTACAGATCTTCAGTTGCCTGTTACGGAGCCGGACATCAACAATCGTCTTGAATCCTTATGTTTGAGTATGACAGAGCACGCATTGGGAGGTAAGCCACATTTTCACAGCCATTCAATGTCTTCATTCACTTTTTGTACCGGAAATGCACATTTTTTTATTTAAAAAAAACGTTTTGGTAGTTATAGTACTGCACCGATGTCTTTGGCCTACGTTTTTCCTCTCAGCTGTGTTTGGTGCCCACAGAATCAAATGTCCCTGTCTGTCCTGTTAAATATTTTACTTGCTCATGGAAAGAATATACTAACAGTCAATCGGCCAGGGTATATTAACACAGTCGTTGTTGTCTTCGGGGTGATTAGTGTCTTGTCCAGGGAAACCAAGAAACCCAAAGTCTTTGTCCAACGATGAGATTTATTTCAGCTACAATTGATGGGGAAACACCATTTACAGATCTGTGATGGAGCGACTCCCCAAGCAGTGGGGTGCGGCCCCTCTTATAACATGTTTTCTTCTTGGGAGGGGTTAAAGTCTGACGCACAACCTTGCAAAGCAACACTTACAGATAGCAGGATGTGTGATACTAGTTAACACTACATTGTAAGATACAAGTGAACACTGTTAAATGTCCAATTTCCACTACATTAGTCATCTCTCGATGATTCGGAGGTACAGCATCATGCCAATTAGCCGGCGACATCTGAAAGAGACACTTTTAAACCACTTCAACTCATCTGCTTTTACCAGCAGAAATACACAGGGTGTGACACACTTTTCTTTGTAGAGTTTCCATTACAGTGACAGTCCCTCTGACTAGGTCCATGCGCTTGATCTTTATTTGTGCCGCAGATCTTTTTTTAGTTTTATTTCAATACCAAGGGTGGGTTCAAAAACCACTGGCTTGATGACACACAGCGATTGAAATACTACAAATGCAACATATTCTCATGAGAACAGAGTCGTATGTCTCTGTCACGCTCTAAAATGAGTCGTTATTTGTGAATAACTTGTCAACAATCTTGTTGTCATACATTTCAAAACTGTTTGGAGAGTAGTTTGGTAATATAGTAAAAAAAGTAGTCAACAATAGATCTGCTCTTGAAATTTTATTACTTAAACGTTCACTTCTGTGGGGTAAAATGAGGAAAGAATAGCCATCCATCCATTTTCTGAACCGCTTTATCCTCATAAGGGTCAGTGGGTGTGCTGGAGCCTATCCCAGCTGTCTTGGAGCAGTAGGCGGGGGACACCCTGAACCGGTTGCCAATCGCAGGACACACAGACGAACCAGCATCTACGCTCACACTCACACCTAGGGACAATTTTGGGTGTTCCATTAACCTGCTATGCATGTTGTTGTAATGTGGGAGGAAACCGGAATACCCGGAGAAAACCCACACAGGCAGGGGGAGAACAAACCCCACACAGAAGGCCGAGGCCTGGAATCGAACCCTGCTCCTCTGCACTGTGAGGCCAATTTACGTGTGTGTGTGTGTGTGTGTGTGTGTGTGTGTGTGTGTGTGTGTGTGTGTGTGTGTGTGTGTGTGTGCGTGTGTGTGTGTGTGTGAAAAAAAATGTGTGTGGGGGTGTGTGTGTGTGTGTGTGTGTGTGTGTGTGTGTGTGTGTGTGTGCGTGTGTGTGTGTGTGTGTGTGTGTATCCCTCTGCGCATAATGTACAATAACTTTTGCCCAGGGTTACAGTCATTGCCACCCCCACTTAACTCAGCTGAAGTGAAGACAGTCAGGCCTCAGTCCTCCACACGGAAATTTGGACAAGCGCTGCTTTGTGCATGTGTCAGCAGTCGGGAAGGCACAGAATAGAACCGAGCGATGGAGCGTAGGACCTTCCTTAAAAAGGAGACTATGTAATTATCTTGGACAGTGGTGGCCAAAAGTGTTGGCCGTTAGTTTGACTTGATTCGTTTTATTTTTCGTATTGTGTACGACATTGGCCAGTTACTGAAGCACAAAATTTGAGTCGCGGTCCAAACATTTTGCCGCAGCTCTATTTCTGTTTTCTCTCATTGTGTTAGTTTTGAAAACAAGAAATACTATTTACTGCAGCTACGGGAAATGACTTAATAGACACCGATACTGCATTGACGGAACGTACTTTATGTTACCGGCCACCAAGGCACCCCAATTGAGTCACAAATGTCTATTAATGAACAATTCGGGTTACAAACAAAACTTTCATAGCAAGATGATTTGTGTTGTGTGTGTGTTGTCACGCTGCATAACCATCATTGGTAACATGCCTTGCGCCTCGGAAAACTAGTGATATTCCTTCTCGGAATAAGGCAGAGGCCGTTGCATATGTAGGCGGAGCTTCCACCTTCGCATCCTTGGTTATCCAATCATAAATCGCCATTGCGTTTGAAAAGTTTTTTTTTTTTTTTGTCAAATAAGATCTGTTGACGGTGTGTACGTTAGTCAAATGTAAAATGTAGTGTCCTTTCAATTAAGTGAACGGATTAAGAGAACGGATAATGTCAGTGGAAATTGCAGTCACCCAGTCAGCTATGCTGGAAGCATGGCTCCTCAGAAAAGGGAATTTGCTCACCGTCGCTAGACAGGCACATGAGAAAGCATTCACCGCTGATAACTTGAGCGAGGCAATCAAAAATGAGAAAAATGATTCAGAGATTTGTTGCGAATAAATGACAATGCGGCATCCCACTTCATGATTTTTTCCTGAACACAAAAGGACGAGGTTCCCTGAATTGGATGCCAAAATCAACCAATGAATTAGAAAAGAAACAGATGTAAACACTTGGATCAGATAGGGTTGCCACGCGTCTTGGAAAACCCGGAAAATTATTGACCAATTTTCCGCTCATGGAAAATGAGCGGGGGGAAAAAAGTAAAATATCCTCGAAAGAACAAAAAAAAAAGTCAGCAGAACTGAATTTTACGGCTCGAATGGATTCATTGCATGTCCGTTCATTTCAGTGGAAAATATTAGCCTGATTTCTGAACGGTTCAACTTTGGAACGGCCTCACAAAACCAATTCAGTTTGTAACTTGAGGTTCCACTGTACACCGGGAGATTTAAGTCATTTTTCGTCCATATTCAAATCTTGCTCAGTTTTCTCCTGGTCCCTCACGGTATCCGTGACGTACAGAAGAGAGGAGGTGCTGCTGGATGCTGGCTCGGCCTGTGCACTACCGCGGCTTAGCGCAACATTTCCTCTTGGCCTGTCTCGTTCGAACGGAGTCCCTCATCTTCCTCACGATCTGATCGCGGTCTGTCACATTTTTCCAAGTTCTGTCAAGGCTTTCTGTGGATCAAACGTGGGTGCCGGACAGCTCAATGGGGTGCAAGGAAGTAGGAAACTGGTCGTTCCCAACTTTTATTTTTGTGTGCTTCACCAGGGGCCCATCAAAAAAAGAAAAAAAAGAAGAAAAAAAAACGTCTCGTGACTGTTTGCCTCAAAATAAGCTAGCGTGGCAGATAAGCATCCCACTTTGAAAAGCATAAATATCCGTCATTTCGACAAAAATGTTGGTGTAAGCCACTTGAACCAAGAATTGTTTTCAAGCCCTTCTGCACCTCATACCTGTCAACCTCGGCTAATAGCTGCCCTGATAAATGATTCCGATTCCCCTTACAAAGCAACAAAAACCCGTACAACGGTTTACCGCGCATGCGCACATCATGCTTTATCAATCCGACCGTATGCAGTGATGAAAATAAATATATAATTGAGGATTACTTTTGCTGGTTTGCCGTGACAATAGTAGCGATCGACGACGGCATTGTCGTTGGCTACCAGGAGGTGAGACGATCTGGATTTGAGCCAAAATGGTCTTTGTGAGATCGGTTCACCCCCCCCCCCATAAAAGTTGTAATACGCAGTACATGATTTGAAATGATAAAAAAAAAAAAAAAACATAAAATACGGGGAAAACGTACAAGTTGACAGGTATGGCACCTATTCAGATATTGAAATGTATGTCTGTGCCATACTTCACGATTGCAGTCATCTCCATTTAGGTATTTGTCATTTTGTTGCTTTCTCATTTGCAGCTGGTCCCAAATGCTGCTGACATACACACAAAAATGGGCCACATGTGGGGGAGTGGCAATTTGGCCACTTTAGCCACATACTGTCGATCAAATCTTCATCATTTTCGAAAAATATTTAAGATTCAGTAGAATGTGATAACACGCTGATTTTGTTTTTTGTTTTTTTTTTTTAAGTTTACCAATCTGGCAGTGCCATGTGCTGTTTGTAAGTGAGGCTTGAACTTGTCGGAGAGCGAGAGGATCGGGCCCTCACTGTCATGGTTGAGGAATAACACATCTGTCAAAATACTGATAGAGGATTTCAGAGAAAAAACAACAGTTTGACAGCTGTTGCCTCGAGGGCTGATTTGGAAAATGTGACCCAGCTACGCGTTTTATTCCATAGAAATAAAGCCCGTAGAAATGTCTTTCCAAATGCAGTTGTCATAGCGACTGTGATTTCTTTGTCTTTGCTGCCTTCCTTGTTTGACATCCTGATATGTTTTCACAACTTGTGCCTCAACCACATCATCTTCCAGCTTCTCGGTGTGATTGAACTACAAACCCAGAGTCCAAGTCAGAAGTTGGGATTTGGGCTGGGTGTCGATTCAGACTTCCCAAATCCATTTGATTTGATTTGTAAGGCCCCAGTTTGATTCAATTTACATTGATTTTCAATTCGGGATTCACAATTTCACGCGGTGCCAATGTTACTTTCCAATGGGAGACATTCCCAGAAGCACTGTTGCAAATAGAAACTTCTTGCTCTAACTCGCTGCGTTGGTAAAAATAAGACGAGCCAGCGAGAAATGGACCTATGGCAGTTACATCAGTCATGTATGTTGTATGGAACATGACCTGAACAAAACATTAAATAATGAGTCCCCCGCCCCAGGAATCTGCAGAGAAAAAGTGTTGATTTTCTTCAAGTTGATTTTCCGCAGGCATACTGAAAAAGGACCTAAAATGGCCAGTTATAAACAGCAAATTCATGAACAAATCAAGTTAGAATTATTTTATCTCCAAAACCAGAACATTGTGGAACATTGTGGTTCTAAGCTAAACATCAGTATTCTCTTTGTCCCTCTAAGGCAGATTTATTTAATAATAATAATAATAATAATAATACAGTAAATATTCTCTAGTGTGGACTCGTGTTTGCGCTGTCCAATTTGTCCTGATAACAGAAATTCCTCATTTGGGAAATGAGCATGGTGCGTGTCCTTTATGAACCTGCAAGTATTGACAAAATGCACGTGTAACAACACAATCAATAAAATACAAAAATATACTGTCCAAAAACAGTTTATATCACAACAACTGCAATACA